ATTAGCACTAATTTAAGAATCCCTCAAAATTTCATATTTTTAATTTCTAAAGTATTTTCATATTTATTTCTTTACTTATTATTTTCTAATACTTGAGGTGACAACATCTATTTTTTGATCTGAGTGCATTTTATTTATTGGATCGATTCTCATCAACTGCTACACATAATCAACACGGTTCATTTTGTATGCTTGGATGCTTCTGCCTCAATTTCACACACAATTTGGTGAATTTGAATTTGAACTTCGTTTTCCTGCATCTGCTCAAGCTATGTAAATAGGGGATGGTTGGTGCAAAAAGCTTGGTAAATAGTTTCCTAATTATGTATGTTGCACAACATAAAGGCAATCACTGCTCACATTTGAGACACATCAAACAGTGATGTTTTGATGTTAATTGTAATAGGATGGAAAATATTTGAGGCCCAGTTTTCGTTGGGAATGATTGAGGAAATACTGTATCATTTGAATTGACCATAACACAGCAGCTCAATATCAAGAATTTGTTTGTTTTCAATTAATTCAGGTTGAATGAAATTGCCGCTTTGATTATAATTTTTTCCGGTTCAAGGAGTGAGATTGGCAAATTTATTTTGCGTGAGCCCATCTATCACAATTAGGAAAGGCGGCTGACAGGAGCGTATTCTGAATCTCAAGTCGCGCGCACCAGGGGTTGTATATGAACATGAAATATTCAAAGAAAAAAGATGGTCCTCTCGCGGATTGCTCCATAAATTATTCAAAATTTCTGTCGACTGCAAAAGTTAACTTTTTCCCCTCTCTTCCCCGAATTTCATTAACGCGTAGTTCAATTTTGTCCAGATGCGTTTTTAATAAAAGCGACCCGAAAAATCGCGAAATGAGGCTGCCTGCATAGAACAAACATAATATGAAAAGAGAACTGCTTGTTCATCAGTGGGCAACTCACGTTCGTACTTACGCTGACAGAGGGATACGGCGCGGGCTTTTTCTATCGAAATAAAAAATCTCAGTCGCACGTTTTCAACACGGAAAGTCTCTCAAATGGATGCGTCTTTTATTATTTATATACCATCACATATTTTATTTTTTTATTCCCACGAAATGCTAATTTAAATTCAAAGAACGCCCCCAATTGTGTGCCGGGAAAATCATGCAAATTCGCAGGCTAATGACAAATAAATTTGAAGTCAGTGGACTAAAAACATCGGCGAATTCACCTATTCACGAGATCCTTTATATCTGTTTCCAATTCCGTCCCGCCTGCTCAAATTGCTAAGGCGATTACCCTCAGTCACAATTACGCCATGTTCCCAACTTTCTAAACTGTCTCCCGCTGTGCAACTTCAGTTAGGCTAAACGCAAGAAACTGTCGGAGGGACCAGTTAGGAGAATAATATCGATGAGGTTTGGCGCAGAACGAGAAATTAAGTAGTTACACAATTTCATTCATATCCGAAGTTTATTTCATTAACATTTGCCAGCAGCTATCCAGCGAAATGAGCAAAAGTCCAGCTCTGTCTTCAGAAAACTTTTGATGGAAATTACAAAATGAGGAACAGGAAATGTTATTATCTATTTGTAATACAAGTTATAGAATAAATACATCAAACCGGATAATTTTTTTAATGCTCGTGACTCAATTAGCAAAATTAAATATCTGGTCGGATCATCTCATTATTATTTCTGTTTATTCAACTGAAGCGTTGCTAAAAATAAATGAAAAATTGTTAAACGCCAAACATCCACAAGAGACACAGCCACCGCAGCCTAATTTTATTTTAGTTCAAACAGAAGATTTTCGGGGGGGGGGGGCGATTCGGAAACATTGCAGTGAAAATAAAGAAAGTGCCACGACTGGTAAGGGTCTGGCAGCTCTAGCGGCAATATTGAATTTCCGCTGTGCACTTCCCGTCACGTTTCCCGCAGCACCATTGAGAAGAAAAGCTTTGTGCGGAAAGGCGAGAACAAACTACATAATACACACGTCACTTTAGAGGCTGCACTCGCCAAAAGATTTGGGCTTTTGGTATGCGTGAATGGAAATTGTGTTTCCTGGAGGTTTTATTACGCCGATTGGATTACGAAAGATCTGATTCGACGTTAAGCTGATTTCTGTGCGTATTTCCGTTTTCCCTCTGTCGCTTTGATCTTGGCCCCCTGCAACCGTGCGTGGTCCTTAATTGGAAAGATTCGGGCAGACCAAAGAAACTCCGAAAGTTTTTTTTTGGTTAGGAAATCTCATAAAAAAACGCACTAAAAAAAGTGTTATTCATGTTGTCGTCTTTCAATAATAAGCCATTAGCTAAGTGTAAAAAAAAATAGCATTATTTATTTATTTTTTATGTAGCCAGTTAAATCCGTTTTTATTGGTGCAATTGCTACAATCAATTTACATTCAGCTCTAGAATTTATAAAAAAAATCATTATTTAGAAATAAAGAATTATTTACTTTTTTACAACTTGAAAAAAATTTTATTTTTTAAGGGCGTGGGTTGATAGACAACAATTGTCATGGCCCGCCAAAAAATAAAAAGCAATCCAAAATCTGTGCTTTTGATTCAATATCATTCTGAAGGACGAAACTTCATTTAAAAATATTTTGGCGAACTGGCTTGCCATTACAATAAATATTTTTCTTTTTCAAAGTGTAGCGTTTGTTTGCTTCACAAAAGACTAGTTAAGTCACGTAAAACGAGACACTGGAGGGAAGCAAAACGGCGTGCGACTGACAATTCTCTTTTAATTAGCTCCAAAATAACAAACTGAATGTTCTCGACGCACGGTCGAGTGAGCTTGAGCAAATTGAGAAGAAGAAAAAAAGCACGGTGAGCGCACAAGACGTGTTTAATGTATAATAAAACGCTCTCCCTCTCATCTCGCGTGGCACGGCAAAATGATAACTCGTATAACTTTTTAGTGCCCCTTCGTAACACACATAGAATAAAATCCTTCTCTTGCTTCGCAGAAAAACCAACGCGGGTTTCTCTCTGCGCCGCATCATATTTTGTTACACTTTTAGGCACACCATGCCGGCTGCCGGCGTATAACGATGTCTCTCTAGCTCTAAAAATCGTTAAAGTTGAAATAATTCCTTTTAAAGGGCTTTTTTTAGATTCAATTTATGTTTTTTTAGTTCATGTATTACAATCATGCCTCTCCATGAGCACATAATCTAAATTTCCATATTGGACAGTAAAATAATTTGAAAGAATATTATCGTTAGGCTATAGATCCATTGAAAATGAAAAAATGTTGAAAATTAAACACAAGGAATTTCAATAAACTGGCCTATAAAGGGACTATTAATCAATTAATGTTTTTAATGATGTTTAAATGGGTTTGGAAACTTAAAAACCCAAATTTAAAATTATGTTTGGGATAAATGATCAATATAATTTGTGATAATTCGGAATTTCTTTATAGCCCGTTTTAATATTGATTGATTACGGGGGCAGTTTAGATATTAAAATTTCAATAATGTAATTTTTGAAATAAAGATTTGATAAAATTGCTCTACTGTGTGTTCTGCATAAATATCACTGGTTTTTATTATTTAAGCAAACGTGCTCATTTTCCCCATATGGGATGAATGGGAAAATAAGTTAGTTACAAATGTGCAGTGAGCGGCAGAGCTCATAGCCGCTATGCAACAATCATGATGATGGCGTAATTTTGCAAGTTTTTTTTTTATTAGCACATGATGCCACCCTAAGCCTGTACATTTCATTCCGTGGACCCACATCCAGTGCGATTTACCCCTCTAGCAGTGCAGCTTCCCTGCTCTGATGTAACAGTGTCTCTCACATTGTCACTTCGTCAGACTGTCTGTCGTGCGTAAGAATTATGTACGACTCAAATGCCTCAAGCTAGTCCAGCTTCATATCGCGTGGATAGATTACGGCGGTTGTAATATCGGCCTGTACCGCAAAGTCCATAAAATCAAAATTAAATTATAGTTTTTGGTATTGAAATTATGTTCACCTTTTCTTACTCATTTTATTTAAAAACAAATTTAGCCATGATTACCTTTTTTGTTATAGATATTATGTTTCTTCGTGAAATATTAATTATTAAATATTACCTTTTATTTTTCAAAATGCAAATATTCTTGTAAATGTGATTTCAAAAGCCCATTTTATCTCGTCTAAATCACAATTTTGTAAAGCTGGTTAAGAGCTTAGAAAAAAGCTAAAAGTGTGAGGTGTGAACTGTAAAAAGCCTTCCATCATTTCGCGGTTTGGCCAGACCCTGCTTATTTAGGTGGATTTAGCTTTGGCACGTCTCCGTGTATGAGTGTAGAATGTCCTTTCCGTCTTATTCAAAAGGTAATTTCTTCTTCCAACTTGACTACTTGCTAATCTGATATAAATCTCCGTTGAGAAGGGTCACCTAAAAAAGGCACTCACTGTAGTTGAACTTAAAATGTGATGGTGAATAGGATAATATTTTTTAACTAATCCTCAACGATTCATTCGCAACTCTCTCATTAAAATAAATTATAAAAAAACAATGTGTAACTTTTCTTCAATTCAAACTTATGGAAAAATGGCCGGGTAAATAATTTGAGTGCAATCAGCGCAGGCTAATTAAACGTAAACATTTTATTCGCATCTACATATTTATTCAAGCTTGCAAACTGTTACTAATCAATAAGGAAATTTAAATATTGACAGATTCCTCTTTTGCTGCTCCTTGATTGGCTTATATAACATTATTTATGTGAATGGTGCCACGAAGTGAGCTGAAAATCGTCTACGATAACAAGAACTATTGATTTATCTTGTAAATAGGCAAACATTAATTTATTGGTTTGTTCTTAAACTGCTTCACTGTACACCGAATAACAAATGTATTGAAAATTCAGCGTACCACCCACATGTATATATTTAATTTTGAGCATATTTTCTACATTCTTAATCACGTACTCCAGACAAAATGCTAATAATCTGTCCTTAAAAAATTTCTTAATTTAAGAGAAATGTATTCAACATAAATATGTTCTCTTATTGTGTTTCCAGCTTTGGACGCCATTGAACCTGATTCTTTTCAACCTTGTGTGCTCAGACTTCTCCGTCAGCGTGCTCGGCAACCCGTTAACCCTGACGGCTTCCCTTCTCAGGGGTTGGAGTTTTGGCAAAGTGCTGTGCGTCTCCTATGGATTCTTCATGTCTTTGTTGGGTAAGTTATCTCTAGCAAACGATATGACAGGGTATAAATATATTCCCTTTGACGAAGTAAAAAACTCCAGTATTTTATTTTTCATCAATTGCATCAATTTATTTTAAATTTAACCAACAACCAATATTGAGCCAATTAATTAATAATAAATTTAAAAGACGTTAAGAGATATTTTTTCCTGATAGGCTTGATGGAAAAATGTATCGGAAATGGCTTACACGTCCGATTTTAAACAAAATTTAAATTAACTGAACTTGAAAAGAAAAATTAATATTTTCACCGTTCTAGGTAACGCACTTATGTATTATGATATAAGGGTCTCAAGTGTGGCATGAATTATCTTTGTAAATTATCCCGGACAATTTTTGTTCCTTTTTTTAAATGTAGGAAAATTTCCGAACTGCTTTCTTATTCAACACGTTTACAATCAAATTGTGTCCCTTTTTTCAAAAGTTTCTACATTAAAAGATATTATAATGTCTATCGTAGCGTATATTTCCTCTTTGGATTAAACCTTTAATTGCCCGCTTTTCTACAGAATTAAAAACAAATAAAAGTTTGAGCGTTATAACATGGCTTCAAGGACTAATTAATTCATTTTGAAAAACAATTTAGCCTGCGTGTGTAAACATTTCTCAAACGTTGGCCATTTATCAATTATCTGTTTAAGTTACTTGAAAAGTAATTTAACTTTTTCGCACCCTGGAACACAACACATGCTCTTAAATATTTTATGAAAGCCATCCAAAACTTTGATCCCGGCAGAGCTGTTTCTTTAAGCATTTGGCACGCAGCCTTATAAGATAATACCGAAAATTTCCATGGTTGCCTCAATATTCAAAGTTGCCCCCACGTTGTAGCGTGCATCGATTATTTATAAACAGAGACTAAGGAAACAAACTCTGATCAAGTTGAGAAAGTTTTTGAATATCAGCAGAGATTCAATCTTGATGACGAACGGCCTCAGGAGCCGTTATTTACAATGTGTAACACCAAAATTGTTTTCATTCTACATCCTTGAAATACTCTACATTTTTATCAAGTCAATAAATAGTAATTAATAAAGACAACATTCAAAAGAATGTTAAACTCAACAATTTTAAATCACCTTCCACAAGAAAAAAAAACTAATCATGCAAAAGTACAATTATATAAGAAGTAATAAAATAAATTATTACAGTAATAATAAATCAGTTTAAATTATTTCAATGAAATGAAAAAAATATATTTTAATCTTTAAAAATAAAAAAGTAAAATTGTTTTGGAATGAATATTATAGTTAATTAATAAAATTTCAAACAAAACGAAAATTTATATTTTTGCAGTAATTATTTATGACCCAATGGGTGTGATCCAAACATGTAATTCATCTTATGTCTCTGACCAAAAAAGTGTTGTCGAATATGATAGGGGTCGCGTCGCAGCTTGGTGAAGCAGAAAAATTCGCTATTCCGAAGTGTCAATCGTAGATCGGAGCCAGAAAAATCGGCCGCGAAAAGCAATCGCAGCGTGCTGGAAAGGAGCGCGTGTTTCTGGTGACAGAGGCAGAACGTCCATTCATGCTGAAAATTGAAGCGTTCAACCGCAGGACGAGTGCACATCAAGCCGACGGCGTCGACCGCACTTGAAAAAAGTACAAACACTCAGTGAGTCGTTCGCAAATTTCCAGTTTGTGGCACTTAATAGGTTTGCGTCGCATCTTGTTAATATGGAGAAAGATATTCCTGAAAATACGCGTAAACTTTTTTCTGAGTTTTCAAATTTTAACATGCTGCATTCAGCCCAATAAAAAAATAATACAATGACCTCAAAAATTTAACGAATATTCAAATTATATTTCAAGGTGACGTGATAATTAATTATTTTTTGAATATTTTTGAACTCCAAAACTCTAGGATTTAAAAAAAAAATAATTAAATATTGCCTTTGTTTAATCTTTTTTCATATTCTAATATTCTAGTTTTCCAGTTTTTATATTTTCAACTTATTCTATAAATTTCCTTATATACACATTAATATTGTGCAAAAATTTACACATTAATTATATCCCATGTTCCATCGCTCTTGATTAACATTCTAAACATTATTCTATACCTGGTGTTGTGTATTTCCTTGAAAGCAAACGGCAACAAACTGACAAACACGATGCAGTTCTTCGAATCGTATGAAATAACCAGGAGCGAAATTGGATGAACTTAAACTTGCCAGAGATTCCTGCAGCACAAGTTTTTCAAAGAGTTTGATGTGTTTGAACTTTCCTCTCTGCAGCGTCAATATTGACATCATATAATTCCATCAAAATTAATTTTGCTTCAAGACAGATGAGATTTATCATTTGCTCCTTCAAAGATTTTAGCATGATAAGAAATAATTAACTCTTAATGAAAATTTCTGTCTTCTGGCAGACTTAGAATTGAAATTTCAAAATGAGAATAGATCCTCATTGAAACTGGCAAGGGAACATTTGCTTTAAAAAAACATCGCCTGTGAATTTTAACTATACAGGCTCGTTCTGCTGGTGCTGCTGCCTATTTTCTCGCGTGCATCGACCCAAATTATTATCCGCCAGCAGACATCAACGAAAACGCTCTCTGACAAGAAGTGGCCCCAAAATGTGAATTCCCAAATTTGCCCTCGGCGGCGAGCAGTCGGAAAATCAATTCTAACATGCACGTGAGCAGCTTTTTGCGGTATTAATTAGAACGCTTCGATAAATCGCTGCGAAAGTACATTTACTCGCGAGCTGCCTGGTGGCGAATTTGTTTGCCCTTTCGACTCTAACCAAACGTGAGTGGCGTTTTGCGTCCTCTCGCTCTCCCCGGGGATGTTTTGCCAGCTTGAAAAGAGACGGCCTGGCAGGTTATTTTCTTTATTTCGCATTGGCCTTCGTTGGCGTTGCTATGTGTGCGTCGTTTATTTTGCGCCCATTATCATTCAAAAGCCGAGTGTTTCGAAGCGTGAGTCTGCTTGTTAGTGCTTTTGAACCACGCGCCGCCCCTAGTTTTCATCATTAAATTATAAATTAATTTCCATAAATTCTATGTTGCGATGTAGATTTTGAAGGGAATTGGAGTTCACATTTCCTTGTATTTTCATGAGGCAAATTTATTTTACTATCAAGTGAGCCCCAGGAAAGAAAAATCAAGGAAAACAATTTTGAGATTCACATGTTTTTAAGTGATACTATACATTTAATTCAAAATAATTCTACAATTTCATATTTGTCTTTTAAAGGGTTTCTTGCTCTAATGGGAAAATCACAGGAAAATTTCAGCTGTATAATTCTTTATAACTATTCTAAATTGAAATTTAATGTATTTTGTATCTGATAGAATTAAGTTCCTGCCAACATAACCTTCTTCTTTTATTTTGATGGAGAATTGATGTAAAGGAAACAAAATACTTTTTTCTTTTAAGTTGCAAATCTGTATCACATCATTATTCTGAGCTGCTGTGCGAAATTGAGAATATCTGAGAACGCTATTGCTCTCTGTTTAAAAGGACGCCTTTGACAGCCAAAAAATATCATTATGTAATACATTGAGATATCATTGCTCGCAAAATTGTAGAAAATAGGCGGAGAATACAACAATATTTATCCTGGTGCAAATAGTTTTAAATAATTGACAATATATCTCCATAAAGAAAGGATCTCTTACATTTTTCTTACAATTTAGATTTTATTTTTTTTTGTTTCAAAAATTGTTCTTTGTTATATTTTGTGTCTTTTTTTTTGACACTAATGTTCCTTATTTTATTAGCATATTTTCTGTTCTCGAGGGTCTCGATCGTATTTTTTTTTTAAACGGTTGCGCATGCATCATGGCTCTATATTGGCTGTTGGTTTTCGGTGGCGCAAAATTTAAATTTTCACCTGCATGTGATAGTGACACGAACAAATAAAATCAACGGGAAAGGTTTAATTTGTACAAATAATAGCAAAATTCACATACGTGAATATTTCCTTCATTTTTTTTACAGTTTTATAAAAATTGTGTCTAAACTTATTTGGTCCCGTTTATCGGGAAAACATTGCCACTCTTTCTGTTGTTGCCTACAGAGGACATGTCTGACAAGTAGATTGGATCGAGACCCCGGTGTTTCTGTCCCTGTTTTATCGACAATATTTGTTGGCGTAACTAACAGTTTTGAAGGTTTTTCTGAAATTGTACCCACTTCTCCCGCACCTAAATATTGTGAATATATACTCTTTTTTGTTGGAGTGTATTTTGCCCTTGCTCAAAATGGTATCAGATGAAACAAGGTGCTGAGGGAGCTGCTCTTGCTGATATAGCTCGTGAAATTTAATGTCGATTTAAGTGGTGCCTTTGAAGGTATCAATTTATTTACTTATGTTTTGTTGCTTGTTTGCTGAGAAACCATGCGCTTCGCTTTGTTTACCTTCTAGGGGCCAAAAGGAGGTACAAAGGAACACAACGAAATGTTATTGATTGTTCTGAAAATTTGACGTTTTAGCTTTGAAATTAATTTTGTAATCAGGATTTAAAATGTATTAGAATATTTCAAAAAGCGGGCATGAATTAAATAAAAAAATGTGGCTAAATGAATGATGAAAGAAAGTTTAATATTACGTTTTGTTTCCAATTAAGCCAAAGATAATTAAATTAGAGGTTTGAAATTCATCATCAGAACTTCAGCCACAATAAAAGAACATGCACGGATTGAAGAGTTTGTAGTTGATGCGTAAAATTAGAGTATACAATGGACTCGGCCACTTTTGATAATTAATTATTATGCTTTGTCTACCTCTTGCGTTTTCATTGAATTCCTTTTTCGTAATATTTAACAACAGCTCGTGTTTTTCTCTCTTTGTTAAAGAATGAAATTGAATTTGTAAGCAAGTTAAAATATAAGTCATGTTTTCTTCCATAATCCAATAATTTACATGTTTCAATATTTAATGGCCTTTTAAGGGTTAGATTTAACAAAATTATTAATTTTAAGTATTGCAGCTTCGATTTTTAAACAATTTATTAATTTTATCACATGCTTGAATTTTTATTTATTTTTTATATTTTTTGGAAATTTTGAATCTAAAAATACAAAAGTCGACTCATTATAAAATATTATACATTTTGAAGTAAAAAAATTGTCACTCTATACTTCTCACTCTTGCAAAAATGCGTAATTTTTTATTCCATACTATTATATTACATTTATTTGTATCTACGCACACATATATGCTGTGAATACTGTTTCGTCCTTACGCCTCTATTGTGTTCTAATGCACATTGAGTGCTCCTTATTCAACGTAAAAATTGTCCCTTCATTGTTGGCGCCACGCCTAGTGGAAAGAGCTTGCTGTGCAGGTGGTTTGGACTTTTCTCACATGTGTATTTCCTTGATTTCAGGAATATCGTCCATTATAACTCTGACGGTGCTCTCGTTTGAACGCTTCGTGATGATCAGCAAGCCGTTCAGATCGCGCCCTCTAAGCAACAAGGGAGCTGGACTGCTGGTGTTTGCTATCTGGCTTTACTCTTTTGCACTCACGTCACCGCCGCTTTTTGGCTGGGGCGAGTATTCTTACGAGGCTGCAAACATCAGGTACGCAAATTTTTAATAACAACGGATTATTTTAATTCTTTTCAACTAAGAGCTTTTGTAAATTTTTTGCAAAGAATCTTACAAACCCAAAATTATGAGAAATTAGTGAGCTTCTCTTGTTATAATTACTTCTCTCTTTCCTCATCCTCCCTGTTAAAGAGCCTAAAGCCACCTAGAAAGCCGCTTTATTACAAAAGAATCTCCTTGTCACGTCATTGCTGAGAATTAGAAGGCAATTAGTTGGAGGAGACAGCTCCTTTGAGGAAAAAGAAAGTAAAAAAAAAAAAAAAAAATGCAAGAGACGTTTTAACGCTTAAGAGCTTCTTGGTAGAGAGAATTGTAAGAGAAAGCAATAAAATTCTCGCTATCTTTTTAAAATTAAGATATAATTGAATTAAAATTTAATTAAAAATATTATTCATTAACTATCCAATAGTCTTTTATTGTTTATGACTATGATTATTTTAGGTTCCTTTTATCTTTTTTTCCTCAATTATTTGTGCCATTTTATGCATTTTCTGTAACAAAATACTAGTATAATCAGATGTGATCAGATGGTAGAAAAACTTTGAAAGAAATAATTTTAACTTCATAGCTCGCTCTTGCGGCAAACCAAAAGCGACACTCATTTATTTCCTCTAATGAAACTCCACAAAATTAGTTTATCTCTTGAGTTCATTAATTTTAAATACAAAAATTCTACAAAGGATCCTTTCTAGAATCGCTCCCTCTAGCGTGTTGCTCCAAATAACATGGACCTGTATGCATAATATATTTACTTGCTTTTACCTCTTACTCATTAATACAACCTCCAAAATTTTTGTTTGCTTATAATTAACCAGTTAGGCTGAGGAAAATATATTGGAATGATGAAATAATTTAATTTCCAGGAATTTGCTTTAACCACGCAAAAAGGAAATTTCTTTTGCCAATTAATACATGTGCACACCAAACAAACATGCAAAAATTTTCATTTATATTTTGCTGAAAGTTTGAATCTATATAATTATATAGTCTCTTTAAATTCCTTAAATGAGTTTATTTGACGTTGAAAAAAGGTCAGATTTTTTATCTTGCACACAGCTCTAGAAACGTGTGTGTTCTGAATTTCATTGATTTTTTCCTCTACGTCTTGTCGCGTAGCACTGCTGAAACTCAATCCTTCCCATCATACCATGAGTCGAAATTCTATCACATTCTCTCGTGACCTGTCACAAAGAGATGTAATTGAAAGATCTGCGACTTTTTTCATTGGATCGTTGCGGAGAGGAAATTAATTCCTCTCCCGACTCTCTACCCAAAAAATTCCATCTGTTATTGTGGCCTAAATATTTTGCCTGAATCACAGAATTGTGGGTTTTAATTTCCTGCCGTTAGAAGCAGAGGCGCTTTTATTTGCTTCCATTTGACCAACGGATGGCGAGTCTGCTATTGACGAATGTACGTATCCAAGAGGTGTGCTTTTTATTTTTATAGAGAACTTTTGGATCGTAGAGGGTTTACGACGCACACCCTCCACGCTCAAGGTGATGAAGAAAGGGACGTTTGTTTCCCGTAAGGCACCCGAGCTGATGTGCAATATTCGGATTGCTACTGTTATTGTTTGCTCGAGTGGAGCAGACAAAGGGTGCTTTTTGCGCCAGTGCGCCTTCCAGCGCAGACAGCTCCGTGCGATGTTTGTGGCAAGTGAAATGGCATATTGTCACTCTGTGATGTGGCATTAAGTAGTTTTGAATCCCTATGACTCCTGTACATGCTGCAAAAAGAACACAGTCAGCTTTAAGGATAAGCGAAATTGACTGAATTTATGATCAAATTGCATGCAATGGAAAGGATTTAGTAGCACATCTTTTAAATCAAATTCTAAAAGGTCTTACATAATAGCATTTTATAATTTTATTTATTCTTGCATGATTTTTTGAGTAAAAAGTGAAAACAATCCAGGTACATGGTGGCCACTGAATATAAATATATACGCCTCCAAAACGATGAGAAATAACACAGCTCTGCTGTAATCAACTCTAAACTCTAACAATAAGTGCACAAGCGCTTGTCAGGTCAATTCAATTATATTACAAGATCAGAAGTTAGTCAAACAATTAAACTGAAATTGCCCACAAGCTCAGAGTGCGAGGAGTGCTTTGGAAAAAAATAATCTAAAATCCTTTCTTTATATCGGATTCATTTACTGCACTTCTTACTATCAAAAAGCTTGTTGGTGCAGGAGATCAATATTTTCGGATGGCTGATGACCTGAATGATGAGCGCTCAATGCCAGTTTTTATGGCATGGAATATTAAATATTACATATCAAGAAGCTGCTCATTTCAATTTTTGACCAAAGGCGATCATGTCAATGTAAATTAATGTTTATCTGTTTGACCTAAACGTATCACATGTAACCAACTTGCGGCCCATCTTGGCGCGGACCTCTCTGGAGGCTTCGCGTTTTAGACACCTGTTTGCCAGAGGTGTTGCCGTTACTTCACATTTTGTAATTTTCTTTCTTATTGACTTGATTTGTTAAGAATAAACAACAATAATAATGACACTAGCAGATTATTGCCTTGCACATTTGCTCTTTTTGGTATTTGGAAATTTTAATTCTTTCTTCCTGGTTCAGACAAACAAATATTTTATTTATTTACAAACTTTTTTGAATTGTTGGAATTTTAAAATGGAATTTTTTTATTTTGCTTTGATCCTTTAGGGGGAAAAAATAATAAATTTTCAGCGATGTATCAGCTTTTTTAACTGCCTTCATTGTATTTAGGGTATGCAAAAACTTAAAATGCGGTGATAAAAAAAGTGCTCTTCATGCTTTTAAAAATGCCTGATTAAAAAAAATTGATTTTATGATAATAAATTACCTTTGTAAAAAAAGTTAAATCATTTCAGCGGTATATCCGCTTTTTTTACTGCCTTCATCGTGTTTAGGGTGTGGGAAAACATAAAGTGGTATGATAAAAATAGGAGTACCAATGCTTTTTTAAAGCCAGACTAAAATTTTGATTTTTGAAAGAAAAACTAATTACATATTTCAATTTACCATCTACAGTTAGCAATTTTATTTTATTTTATACTCACTGTACACCTCTGTTAAATTAAGAAATTTTTCAAAGTGTTTGAAAGATGCTTGAACTGTAAAATTAATCAAGTATTATGGCATATTATTAACTTCACTGGCAAATGAAATTTCTTCCAAACTTGTCACAAACACTTCATGAAAGTTTGAAGCAAAATTAATTATCATAACTGAATCAACAGGTTGCTTAATATTTATAATTAGAATTAAAGTGGTCATCAAAGCCATTCTCAAGCAAGTGCTCATTCATTTCTAGTTTTTATTGCCCACTAGCAGAAACTTCTCTTTGGCAATGACAAAAGTTGAATTTCATTCGTTTTTATTTTTATCACTTTTGTCTTTTTCATTTCAAAAATTGGTCAGCAGGGATTATGTTGCGCTTAGCGGATTTGATGCCTGGTATAAAATCCTTTATTTCCACCAAAGTATGTTTGCAGAGAGGCAAGCTCAAGTATATAATCCGTGCATTCATTGTGCTTGTTTGTTGATTGCAGCTGCTCTGTGAATTGGGAGAGCAAGTCAGACAATAACACGTCGTACATAGTCTTTCTGTTTGCGTTTGGGCTGGTGGTGCCGGTGTTTGTCATCTGCTACTCGTATTTCAACATAATGCACACCATGAAGAAGGTAAGTCCCAGTTTAATTAACGTTTTCCTCTCGCCTGAATCTACTGCGTCCTCTGCGACTCCCTAGAAAATTATTTTTCCTACCCCTACACGCAGTGCTATTAATTATTTTTTTTTTGTGTATTCTCGCCGCATTGAATTCTAGTGGGAAATGGGATCAGATTTTTCTATTTCTTCACTTTCTGTGTAACATACATAAAAGTGAAAAGTTTTTCAATAAGAATTCTGTGAATTTTAGATTGCCTATTTATTGGATTTGGTATGCACTTCTGCGAATTTGGTGCTCGAATAAAATATAATATTAATGCTTAGAAATCAGAAATATTGCAGAATTATTTGAGCTAGGGCTGAAGTAGGGTGAGGCAATTGAATGACATTTATTTGAATAAAATACGGAAAATTGAATTGAAAAGATAATGTAGTGAGTAGAAATTTGCAACTGCTGATGCACACACATAAAACCTGAATGTAAACGCAAAATGCGCTTGAGTTTTTCCATGTATATATGAACGCAAATCAATAATGATGCAATAATATTAATATTAATTTTACTGTGTTCATGAAAATGCAATAAAATAAATTAAACTTTATCATTTTAAATCTTAAATAGCTTAAATAGATAGTACACAATTCCATTAAAAAATTACTCATTTGAAATTATTAGATAATTAAAGTTGAATACTTATATTTTAGCTTTTTGTTTATTGATTATTAATTGGATAAAACGGCATAATTTAAGGGGTCATAGATAACTTTCATCTTTTTCAATAAATATCAAATAATTCTAATTTATACTAAAATTTTCATAATTTTTATAAGTGCTCTTATAAAATATTTACCGAAAAAACATGAATCCTGAAACTTTTTAATTATCTTTAACTCTGGCTTTTTACAAATTCATTTTAACCATGGCTCATTGCTGACGGGTTAAAAAGCTGAATTTACGCAAATAATTCGTAAAACTACACTTTATTTACATTTTCATTGCACTGAACTAAAACAATCACCGTTGATTGCGATTCTCAATCAGATGAATATCAGAGTAGCTCAAGCGCATAATTAATATTTACGAGCGCGTCTTGTGCGGATTGCTTTGGCAATCAGCACAGTGCTGTCATTTCCTTCTACGCTCATATCGTCTTTTGACGACAACTGACAGACTTCTCGGGCACATTCAAAAGCGCCCAACCCGGCTGCTTCCTTTTGGAGGAGAAAATAAATCTCTTCAATTCGCAGACGGTGTGAATTTTTAATAGCGCACACGCGCGCGCGTACGTTTGGGCACAATTAGGGAACAGACAAGACTTTCCCAACGCTCATCTGAAACGGAAGATGAAGAGCGCGTCTTGCATATTTATGAATAAACGTGTGCATGTAGCCCGCACTTAAGTTGTCATGGAGAGACTCGTCAGCTTCTCGGCGCTATATACACACATATTTACGTCTTTGAATTTACACAGAGCAAAAATTAATAGCCTCACAAAGCAAACACTTGACGGCTTTGAAATGCGAAGCCTTTTATTTTGTTATTGCTATACACCAACGAGTCATTAGTTTGTGGCCATTATATTGAATCGTTTATTTTCAGGCAGAATCAAAGTTCATTTACTGATTTCCAGTTCGTCTTTCATCCACGCTATATGTACATACATTAAATTCAATTTGAGAAGAGCCAAAGTTCAATATTTAACCAGTGGCTATGACTGACGACAATTTACCATTGTTTGTCGGTTGTGTAATTGATCAACCTCCACGCATGGTGCAGCACATAGATAGTCCTCATCTGCCCGCTGGGTCTTTGTCTTGTATTATCGAATCGCTCCCAGTCAGTGCAATGCTCAAGAGATATTCCTAATAATTCCTAACGTGGGACAAAGATGCCCGAAAAACGTGAATCCGGAAAGAAAAATTTTGTAGATAGCACGCTTATAGAGCTAGAAAAATGTCTGGAGTTCAATTCAGCACGAGCTGATGTAAAATTCCACCACAAAATTTTAAAAGAAAATTATTTAAGAAGCGTGTCTTCAAAAAATCTTCAATTATATTTTACCTCTTTGTGGAGTGTGCTGTGAATATTTGAATAGAAAAGTTAATGTAAATAATTATACCTATTTGAGACTTGTATCTTCTTGCTGAAAATTTTATAATGAACAGCAATTTAAATAGCAAGTTTGCTTCTTTCCAAGAAATTTCACATTTTTCATTTTTGCACATTGAATTCTTTCAAGGAATATCTATTTTTAAGAGAAATAGCTGTAGCTCCAAAGAAAGTAATTTCTCTTCCAGCTAAAGAACAGAGTCACAAAGGATTTCAATGATGCGCAATTCTGTGTGCACAAACTTTATAAAAATCTCTGCTAAATATATATTTTCAAAGTAAATACAGATGCCCTTGGTATAATTGTAATTTTGCTCTCTTACAAGTAGACAGTGAAGATTTTTGTGAAATAAGAAACAGTTGTGCTAAAAAAAATTTATTTAAAATTTAAAACCACAAAAAATTTTCTTCCATGACTGTAAAACTCGCAAAAACCTAAAAGTATGTATGTGTCATTTTTTTTTAAACTCTGCATAATGAATTTCTTCTACAATTGTAAAAAATAAATTTAAGGCAGGGAAATTTATTTTTAAAACATGCCTGCTGGCTTGAAGCCATCATAAATGCAGGTTTGTGAATACGTTTCGTGTATCCCCTTTAGAGACGTCACTTTTCAAAGCCAAACTTCCGCGAGCGTCACCCAAGAATAACCTTTTGGCCCACTCTAGGGAAGCATTTCAAAATTGGAGTGACCAAGAGGTAACTTTTCAGTGCTCAAAGGGATTTGCAGATGGTAGTTAACAATAGGGGAGCAAGCCTGACACTGGAATAAAAAGGATGAGAAATGCGCGTTGCCGTCACAGTTGGCAAAACTTTTGGGAAAGGGAGAATCCTTTGCTTAATGGAGTGAATAATTCGCCCCCACAGTAAATAATGCGAGAGTGCCTGGTGCATTCGATCAGAACTTTTTGACCCCTCAAGAATTTAATTTCACATTAAGTTGTCTTGATTAATTGTTGCTGGAATTTTAGGGCCAATTGTATTACAAATTTTGATTATGAAGATAATGCCCGATTCTTGATGAAACGCGCTTTGTGCATTTCATTCTTTTGTCATTTTCACACATGCTTGCGTATGTGTCACGCGCCTTTCTCATCTTTGATGTTCTCCGACCTCGCAATTGTTTTTGCATCACATATAAAACAGAAGAGACCCTTGCATGTGCCTTATCCTTCCGCCAAGCTCTCTTTTCTTGCCACGTGTCTGCGAAAATTCTCTCTCCCACCCCCAACCCTCCCTCGACTCTTTTACTCTTTTCCTTTTCTTCTCGATGGAATGTCACCGTCATCACTCGCATTGTCACGGTGGCAGGCGACAAAAAACAGCACTTTCAACCTGGGATTTATCTTTCCAAGGAAAATGTTAAGCAGAGAGTGTTGCGAAAGATTAACAGAAAAATGCCAGCGTTGTTGTTTAAAAGCAAATGACATTTATGCCGAGACACGATGAGCATGGACAATAGGAATGGCTTCTGGAATCTAAATGATTTTATAATAAAAGAAGTAAAATTTTCAAAAAAATTTTTTAATGTAATTGTGAATCGTGTCTAAGGTTGCGGAATAAAAATCAAAATGCCATAGTTAAAAAAATTAAGATTTAAAAACATAATTTTTTATTCACAAAACAAATTTATTACCTCCCCATAGGTATTTGGTTCATTCCAACCATTTTTGACTGTAGAATATAATGTGCAATGTTATATTATAGCTTACAGAGAAGAATAAATAATAAAATAATAATTGTGTAGCCCACTTTTCTTTACAAGAAGCTTATACTTTATAAAAGTCCAATATTTTTTAATGCTCTTCTTGTGGCCAATACAAGTTGGCTTTTATACCTCCAAATAGCCGTGTCATTGACGGTGACATTATGTCCCTTCTTGACATTGCATTCTTTCTTGGTGTTCGCTACGCAGTAATGCTGGAGCTGCGCGTCTTCCAGATCGAACTGTATTGACCTGCACCAGTTAAGCGATTGCCCATATTCACCAACGCACGCTCTAGCAAAGTGATTGTGAAGAGCGAATGTCGTATTGGTCGCGTGGAAAGCTTTTACACGGTCCCCTATAGGAGAATGTTTCGTTCGCGCCACGTGTTGCATCATGTGCATGTAATTAGGAATATCTGAAAACCGATTGTCCACCATGCCGTCCAAGAAAAAAACGTTGCGCGCCACAAAAGTCGAATGCGTGACATTATGTTCTGTTTTTTCGTTTTTTTCCACCTCTCTTGCCTTCGGTATGGCTGTTTTGTATATAAGATTGCTCCAGTTTTCATTCAATCCGAGTGGCATGATCACCTATTTTTAATTTTACATTGGTTTCAATTTTTTTTTTAATAATAATAAATATTTGCTAACCTCGTCAATGTCGAGCAAGACAATAAATTTGAACAGATTCATGTTTCTGTAGAGGCAGTCGTTGTAATCGATTAGTTCTTGGAACACTTGAACTACGAGTCTCTCAGTCAGAAATAGATCCATGAGATGAGGAGAGTTTGGGTAGTTTCCAGGAAGGGTTGTTTGCACCACTTCGACGTTCCACGAGCTTTTGTAGTATTCCAGTACTTTGCTTATATTTGCGTGAACCTAGAGATTTTTTTGTCATACCATCAACATCATTGTTGTAACTTACAGGCTTACCTGAAGCTGGTAAAAGGTAATTTTTTCCGCGCCAAGAATTTTCAATAGTTCTATCCACTCTACCAGTCTAACAGAAATTTTCGCCCAGTGCTGGAAATTCAAAGATTTCACGCAGACGGCAAAATCTTGTTTGGCTCCCGAGGCAGGCCGGATGTCTATTACACGGAGGTTATTTGTGGCATTTTGGCAAGGCCTTTCCACCAGAGAAACCGACTCTGGTACCAAATGGTAGGACGAAGGTGGTATGAAACAGCTCAGCATGTAAGGCTTCAAATCAACTTTGGTATAGCCCCATTCGGGTCGCCACAAGTATTGTATGTGATAAACCTTAGGAAATTTGGTAATACAGTGGAAACGGAACAAGGAAACTTGTTTCAAATTACCTTCACAATGACAGGCGTGGTTCTATTTTCAAACCAAAACTGGCACATTACGTTTTTGGTAATGTTTAAACCGGGCCTTTCCACCATTCCGAGTATTCTTACGACTGGCGCGAATTTTCCTGGCCACGTCCGATTGTCATAATACGCGCCGTACAGATAAAATGTTTCGTTTGTTGTCTTTTGCATTTGCCAGTAAGCGTTGTTAAATTTTATATCAAAGTGATAGGTCTGGTACGCACAGCTCTCGTTGTACCTGTGCCACTCACTCCAAGGTCTAACCTTTGGAATATTTGGGTTGCTCTGTTCAATCTGCAAATAATTTACAATGTTATTTTTAGTATAATTGAAATTATTTAAATATAGCCAAATTAAATTGTTAAATGTCCAAACTTTCAAACTTTTCGTAAATTATTATTTTATACCTGATTAACTACCCAATTAATCTTCATAATTGTGGTGTCGACTTTCAATTTCTCATCAAAGTCACCTGCATAAATTTTATGGGGATAATTTTAGAAATAATATACATTATTGCTAATAATTTATACAAAAATAAAATTTAAGCAATATTTTCACCAATTCCAAAGAAGAAAAAATAATTCAAATCTTCCATGAAAAAATTTCAAGTGAAAATAACTTGAAAATAAATTATTACCAGCTAATATAAAGACCCTGTTGATGATAAGAAATCTGTTTGCAAGCAGAACAAAAATTGCCATAAAAAAGCTTAAGGCTACAAATAATATCTTTAAATTTAGAATCATCTGCCCCAATATATTGTTCACCACCTGTGAAGGCAAACATCAATATTGGTCGAGCTCCGCGTGTGGTAAAGAGCTGCGGTTGAAATGACACACAGCACCACTTTATTACGCGCACCTTCACCGGAAAAGACCTTTTGTATAGTGGCGATAAAGCTGCGGGCCAAGCTATCTTCATTATTCTTTTTTTATCTGCACTACCTGGCTTCAACAAAAGGAAATGAAATGTTTTGGTAGTGTGCACAAATTTTATTTAGTCGTTGCCCTGCTAAACTCTCCATAAACGTCCAAAGTTCATTTTTAAATAAACCAGACATAAAAGATTTTTCAATTCTTTAATATTGATAAATTGCATCTCCTGTTCACAGAATGCACTGGCGATGGGCAGCGTATCGAAAGCTGAGTCTCGAGTCGCCGCCATGGTGCTCGTCATGGTGACCATGTTTTTGGTCGCATGGACGCCTTACTCTGCCTTCGCTTTGATTGTGGCCTTCGGTGACCCGAGTTTGATCACGCCTGGGACCGCAGTGCTGCCCGCCTTGATGGCCAAAAGCTCAATCTGCTACAACCCCATCATTTATGTTGGACTTAACACACAGGTAAGATATTATTTTTTTTTAATGTTAATTCAGATATCCACAAAGTTGATGCTTTTAAGTTTTATTTTTCATTGATAACTAAAATTTTAAATGTATTTATCATATATCTGCGTATTTAAATGGGATTAATTAAGATGTCCGCGTATTTGTTTTCTATTAAGCATTTATTCTCCCCACATTCCAATCCTGTATATTATGTAAAAAAAAATTGTGAGCTTTTTACCCGATATATCTATAGTAATTAAAAATTCCAGAGGCAATTCGCAAGATGTCTCGGCAGCCGCTGGTTTTATTAGTTTTTTTTTTACCAGGGTATAGTGGATTTATTATGACGTCAATGGATTGCGTTGCGTCTGCTCTGCTCTCTCTATTATTTGCGTTCATTTCCCAGGCACAATACATGCAAGCGGAATTTCTGATGTCGTAGTAGATTTTTCTCTGAGAGGCACAAAGTTAATCTGAAGAAATGCGAAGAAGGGCAATACAATAGTTGTAGCTATTTTTATGAGGGGATGAGTATCTTGTCAGTGAATTCTGCAGAGTCATTTGGACGGACGAACGCCAAGAAACGCGAGTATTGCGGAATTGTGTGGGCAGGTCCATAGAAAGGTGCGATTAGAGCTATGTAATGAAATCGATAATCCAATTAATTTTGTTGCACAAGAGTAGGCGGAGAACTCAAAGCTCAAAGACCATCTAGCCAATAAAAAGCTTCTCATTTTGTTGATTATGAAGGTGCATCAATTTCAAAAGGCTGAGAGAAAAATGATACACAGCTGGTATAACCTTGGCTCAAAATGAAATGAGGCATTGCATAAATTGGATATAGTGAAAAGCTGGGTTTAGATTTGTATCCCAAGAGTCATTGCGTGAAAACTTAAAAATCTACAAACGTTACGTGAGTCTTGCAGTGTAATAATTTAGCAAAGAATGTTCCAATTTTTCATAAATTTAACTGATTCACATTACATTAAATTGGCTCTTTCATTAAATTAAAATCATGTAATATTTGGTGGTTTGCAATCAGTGTTGATTTAAATGAATAGTTTTCTCTATGAGAGTCGTTATTCGATATTCAAAACATAGTAATTTAATTTCCAAATTAAATTCAAAGTGCCGCCATTGGATAAATTGATATGTTTGACAGTTGGAACATTGATGAGTTTATTACGTAAAGCGCAGCCAGAATTATGAATTCAGAGAATTAAATTATTTTAATGGTCCGCCTTTTATTTAAATACTTTCCATAACTCTCCGCGGTCCTTTAATAATTGAATGTTCAAATTTAGTTTTAAAATTATTTATCGGACTGCTGGTGCGAGCTTAAAATAATAATTTTGTGGATATTTTGAAAAATCCAATAATTTAATTATAATCATCCATAATTCATTCATAATTTGAAGACACCATAATTTATTTTCTCCTCTTTTTTATTTCTCATATCAATTGTTTTCTCATTGAGGGCGTGCAGCTATGAATGATCATGGGCATGCTACTTTGCAAATTAAAAATTAAAGTGCAAAATCAATGCTTTAATAATCGTTCTTATCAATTGTGCGTCAATTTGCTTGGATTTTAAAATTATATTCACGTTCTAGCAAATCAATTACTTGAAGTTTTACTATTTATTGCATTGGTTATTCAGAACATGAGTATATTTCATTTGGAAAAAATTAGAATCTTCGGATACAACAATATTTTGTACTAAATATTTTACCAACGACTGTCAGTGGAAAATTTGGAACTGCAAAGAAACAACTTATCGTCGAGAGATTTCGCGGGTCAGTGAACACGCATTTGTGAGAAATTCCAGCATGAGCAGGTCTACTGCGACAAACTCATGGCGTGGACGAGCGCGTTCGAGTCCACTTGAGTGCACTCGATGGGACTCGCAAAATATAACGCACTTGATCTGATTGACTTCTTGCTCCTGGTGGCTCGACGAACAATTGAATTACGCAGCCACGGATTTGGTTTCCACCGTCATTAGAGCAGTTTAAATCACGCAGCTGGATTTTGAGAGCAAGTTGACGGAGTTATTATGCCCACGTGCAAGCAATATTGTTCTCAGCCAACAAATTTTAGCTGCCAAATTTAATTGCTGCTCCACTACAGCACGTACAGGGAGTAATTTTACAACAGCTTTTGCCATTAGTGATTGTGAACTGGCGCGATTTTTACGTTTGGTGAAAATTTCCAGGTTAGAACCACGGAGTGGGAAGTGGAAATTTGATATGATTTTATTCGCCAGGGGTCAATTTGTGTTCGGCTATTCAAATGAAAATTTTCATTTTTTCCACTTGAACTAATTTATTTTTCTCAGAAATTTCGTACATTTTCTCTTTTATGCAAGCAAAAAAAAAAAAAAATCAGTGAAGCTAAAACAATCTAAAATAAATTGAATATTTCATCAAATGAAATTGATGGGAAAAAAATCACATTTTTATCAGAATTATGAATACGTTGCTTAAGCATTAGAAACTAGAGATCTTATTTTGTAATACAAATAGAATTGACATTTCCTCTTATAGAATCAAACTTTATAGGTTTACGAAAGCTTAAAAAAAACCTAGTCCTCCAGCGCAACATAAATGTTAATTGGAGGGAAGAAGCAAAAATAAACTGGCGTAGCAATTTTGGATTAATTAATTATTTTCCATTATGACTTTATAGACTGGAAAGCATGTTATGTATTTAAAAATATTTTAACACGTATACTTGACTGCATATTGATGCTTTGCCTTTACAAATTAATTATTAGTCTAGTATATTATAATAAGTGGTAGACATTTTTTCTTGACTTCTTTATAAAATCATTCAAACACAATTTGCAACTAATATTATTTTTCCTACGTTTTGTTCAATTTGTCCGAATTTTAATTCCTTTATCTGCGTTTTCAGTGTTGCAATGTTTATCGTTAAAAATCACAGTTAGACAAACTGCGAATACAAATCCCTTTCACTTTTTCTATACTTCCTTAAGGTAAAAAATATATAAATTGATAAAGTTCATGCAAAATTTATAATTAAAATGATTTTAAACCGCTCAAGTCTCAATTTAGACTCGTGTAATTACGTCATCCTCTAAGTATCCCAAATCCCGATATTGATATTGTATGAGGGAGACCAGAGATTCCAACGTGATGCATAAAATTTATCTAGCCTGAGGGTACAATCCTTCAAATAATAAATAAAAAGTTACGTTGAGCTTCCATTCCTTTGCGGTCAATTATTGGGCATTCCTCGTCGATTTAACCTTTTCATAAATGAAATTTTATAACATTTCAGGCATGCTGGAAAAACACTGGAAAAAGTAAATAAATTTCATGCTTCATTTTCTGTTGCGAGTTTGACTCGGATCAAATAAGGAAAATTTTCGCCCTAGAAGTAGCCGATCTTTAAGTCCTCTTGTGCTATTAAATTAATTTCCAACTCTACCTGCCTAATATTTATTACAAACTATTTTGGCTTATATAGAACTTCTTGGCTTAGTTAGAAAGCCTCAAGTTTGCAAAGGTTCGTTTTCGGCGTGTAGGCGTGTATTTAATCGGATTTATAAACGAACTATTAACTTATGATTATGAATATTAAACGCGTTACCTCAAAGGTTTGTTTCTAGTGAAATTAATGACAGCTGTGTGGGAAAAGGACATTCAGAATTTAGATTATAATGAGGCAGGCTCATATAAAGACGTTCATAAAAATTGGTCCTTCCGGGGCAAAAACGTAATTTTCCCGACATAAAACGTTCCAGTTCCACCTTCCTTTACGATTTTACACCGAGTTAAATCTCCCTCGTTGGTGCTGCAAGATCTCACGCACCCTAAAAACTTCACTCTGCGGTATTAAAACCCTTCCTTGTAAAATATAAGGTGGCCAGACGGTCGTCTTATGCTTCCCGCCGTACGCCGGCGTCGAGCAAGTTGCCTATTTTCCTTCAAGAGGACACAAATCGCGAGCAGCTTACTGCTCGCGTCTCGAATTTGTTGTTTGCACTCTACTTGATTCGACTGCATCCACTCGGAAAGACTTTCATAGTTTTGTGCCTTATGATTGGCCGCTGTCATTCGTTTCCAATAAACCGCACTTACTTTACGGACGAGTTTTCGGCCAGTTCGAAATGAATAAGCCTCAACCGACCACCCTTTTGTACGGTGCACGGGGACATAATAATCAATGGCACTCTGTCTCTCTTGGCAATATACTGAATGTTAGCGAACTTTCCTCCCCGATGCCTTCTCGAAGCAGGAGCGCGGTGATATTGATCTAAAATACACACAATGGATTGCTTTGTTGATTAAACGGGTGTACCTAAACAACAGTGAATCGCGATCAGCATGCATTAGTCAAATGACTTTCAATAGTCCGTCGGACAAGAATTGTTAATGGAGAAATGTGTTAAAATAATTTAATAATTGCAGTTAAAAAATATATATGAACTCTATCTGCTAATTTTTTCTTTCCAACTCGCACATCAACTTATTTTCGAGTTTGGTCTATAAATTTTAGCTATATTTACTAGAGTAATCTGCTGATTCTCTCCCAATGTGATTTTCATTTAAATCATTTTTTGACTTGTTGTGAGAGAATAAATGGATTGAGTTTTACACAATCCTCACATTTAACAATTATTAGTTACATTCGAGATTTTTCTCTCTCTGCAATTATCATTTTTTTACCATTTTAATTCCTGTTTCAACTGAATTTATTGCAAAAAGCTTAATAATTTTTTTTGCAAAATCTGGCGATTAAAAGCCATTTTAAAATTTTCCACGTGAACATGCAGAGGAAAATCATTTTTCCCCAATTTTATTATTTGCTTGGGACTCTACTGTGATTATCATATTTATCTGACTGAAAAGAACGGTTAGGCGAATTGTCTTTAACGTTTTCGAGGTTGATTAACAAAGGCTTGAAAGATAAAACACTACTCTAGCGCCTTTGGGAAAATCCAGAGATCTCTCAACCAATTCAGTCTGCGCAGCTGAACCTCGTCAGCAACTTTATTTTTTCTTATCCTCTCCCAGCATCTTTGGCGTGGTGCGCGTACGTCACAATGGAGCGTTATTTTTTTTGTCATAGGTACCTATGCAAGTAAGTTAGTGGTTGATGTTCCACTGAGAAGAACATTCACAGATTGCGAGCGGCATCACAATTTATGCATAGAACCGGTTGAAAGTAATAAAACGGGCCAAAATGAGATCGTATATTTCTTCATTCCCCAACCAAAAGCGCTCTTTGTCCATAACTCCTCTCTGCTACAAGTTCAATGGCTTCCTTCCCTCACAACGTAAAAGTTCCATCTTTTTATTCTTTTTGAAAACGTAAAAAAATTTATGACAAAAAGCAGCACCATCAGGAAGAAGAGAAGAAGATTTACAATATCGATTTGTCCATTTAGTATATTTTTGAAATTTTTTATAATTTCATTCGGGAAAAATATGTTTTCTGCGTAAGTGTAATTTTCCGTTCAAAGCCCCACTCACTATAGAGGATGGAGGATAATTAGAACTGGCAAAAGAGCGCTTTCCAGCACAACCTTCAAAGACACAAAATGATTACAGGCATGTTCGCGAGCCCGCATGTTACTCTTTACTCATGTGGGTATAGGCAGAGAAATACACTCAGTGCTTGAGCAATTTCAGCTAAAAAATAATGCTAAAAGTCAAGTACTAGAAATAAACGCGTGGCGGATCCAAAAAGCGAAAGCGCCTGGAAATGCAAACAATGGTGCGGTATTTTCAAAAGAGATTCATTTCCCCAACGAGTGTAAATTTTGCAAAAGAATTGCGTCTACCGTCGAATCGCACATGCCACAAAGAGCACTTGTGAAAAACGTGCCGGCTGGTTGCAGATTTATTAAAAATTCAATAAGTGTTTGTAGAAGCTTTCCTGCGCCAGACGGCTTTATACAGTGCGTTCCTACTTCCTAGGCAAAATAAATTTGTTTTCAAAAGAGGATAAACGCATTTACGTTCCGCGCAGTAATGAAATAATTTTTTAAAAAAATGTAACTAAATTTATTATATATCTTGAATTAAATTCAAAAGTATTTTCTATAATCACATTAAATAATCAATTCAAAAATTTTAAATAAAATTTTTGTGTGCTTTGTTTGCAGTTTCGACATGCGTGGCACCAGTTCTTGGGCGTGAAGTCGCAGTCGGTGACAGGGTCCATAGAGGTAGGTGGTGAGAATACGGCCATCAGCATGCCGCAATCCAACATGATAACCGACAACACAATCACCTCCACGGCCCCCGTCCACTTAAGAGTGCAAATGTCCAAGAGCGATAAGCAATTTTTGCAGGTCAAGAACAGTTTAGCGAGTCGGTTTGAGTTGGTGGCGGTGCGAGCGCCAGTCAATTCGCCCAATGTCTCCAATTCAGAGCAGCAGCTTTAATTTCCCGGTGCCAAATTATAATAGTAGCGTATGTATGGAGAAATGTGAACTTTTGCCGCGTTCAAGTAAGAACTACTATTTTGCACAGAATGAGATTTTTGTGAAAAAGGACCTCCACCTTCTCATATCAGTATTTTTGAAGCTTACGAAATAATCTTTTTGAATTTTTCATTCACGTTTTGTGGTACAAGGATAAAGACATTTTTAGCGTTTGTTTGTAAATGAATAAGTTTCTCCTCCGACAATCAGAAGAATTTCATTGCACTTAAAATTATAGAATCTACAATTTTATCATTATCATTATAATTATAATTGAATTTCGTTTTTTTTTTACATGACTGTACATGACAAAATTCTGCTGCAGCGACAAAGTACATGCACAAAATACAAAACATCAAAATGGCACCAATAAAAAGCTTAATCTTAAGAATTTCAAAGCAACCGTAGTCATTGGTATGACGTTGTCACACGGCAGGTGAAGCACAATATTTACACAGTTGTTGATGAGACTCAATTAAGTCAAGATTGACTGCGATATAAAGACTGCTCGTAGAAAATGGATACTTAAAATCGTTGAGAATATAATATGCAAGTTGTGTACATAAGATCAAAATATTTAACTTCCATTAATTACCTCTTAAATAAACATTCGGATGGGCCCTGATAATTATGATAAAGTTGTATCATAATTATTATTAGCAACGATCAATTCTTGTCAGTGAATATTTTTTTTCTTGCATTGAAAAAGCAAATCAAAACCAATATTCATTCAAGTAGCAAATCTTTGGCTGTACGATAATTGGAAAATATTTAGTGTTTAAAACATGGAAGAATTTGAGGCTTATTTATTTTAATCTTCTATTTTTATATATCAAAATTGTAATATAAACAATGTGGCCAAACATTGAAGCTATTGAGTGGCTTTTAAGCCCGTGAGCTTTTATTAAGTAGCCCCTGTTTATAGTCAGTTTAACAAAATCAAATGTAATGCATACAAGAAATTGTTTTTCGTCTTGTTAATTATTCATTAACAAAGCATAGAAGCAATTGACCATTGATCTCTATGTGACGTCTTTGTTTCAAGTAATTGTTAATAAGCTGTTTGATGGTCGATAACAGTAATTATGACGTCTCTCCAATGTGCCAAATCTGTGCCAAAAAATCGTAATTATTCCAAATTAAGAGTGACAAAGAGTAGAGAGAGCCAAAGATAAAATTTGTCAAACTTAATTGTGGGAAGAAATGAATTTTACTCAAGGGAATATTGGATAAGTTAATTATAGCAAAAATGGAAAACTGAGCCTTTCCATTTTTCTTATGATTAACAAAATTAGCATGTACTTGATGTAAACAGAGGATGTTGCATATATGCATTTTTTTTTTCATTTGAGCTAGCTGTATAACGAAAACAATGTGATAAAAAGTTTAAAATTTAAAGCTTAAGTCCTTAGAGACATAGTTAGAGCTTAAAAATATTAGAACATTGTATGAGAAATGGAAAAAAGAGGGTTTATATTGCGTTTGACTTGAAATATGTAAAAAAAAAAAAAACGTTATTTACCCATAACTGGGAGACTGGGAGAGACAAAACCTCTGGTCATTTTCTGATTTATTTATTGAATGAAAATTAAATGATTAAATTTAAATAAATTAAGAGAGCGTTTCAAAAAAAGGAGAGCTGTTTTAAATGAATAGAACTAGTATTAATTAATGAAAGTATTTTAAAATTATTAAAATCTCAAAGATTGCACTCAATGCCGCAGTCTGCATAAAATTAAACCTCAAAGAAACGCTTATTATATAAAGGCACGCATACATAAAATATATTTAATTTTTTAATTTTCCACTATTTAATAGAAAAATGGATTCAATTATTTTTAGTTTGCAGTATTCAAAGAAAATTATAGACAGCATTGGTCCATCGGATGACATAGGTTTTTTCCCATAGCTGAGCAGTTTTTAACATATCAACTATCAACCAAATAAAAACTTAAAAAATTTAATTTTTATATCAATTATGCATTTCTCTGAAAGTTAAAAAAAAAATGACTAGAAATACTGTGCCAAAAGTTTGAGCTATGTTGGGAGTCAATGAGGAAGACGCCAACAATATACCAATAATGGTTATTTAAAACTTTTTGACTTGCATTTTTTAACTTATGTATTGTGTAGTGAAAGTCACTCTGTAGCACTAGAGAGCTAATTATATCACGTTTATTTATTTTTGGACAAATCCTTTAAGCAGGAATTATATAAAAGCATCAAACTTCAAAAACCAGCACAGACACAGTCAAAGAAATTGAAAAATATAAATTAAATAATTGTCAACATACAAAATGAATTAAAAAAATCTCTCTATACCATCACATACAAAAATGATATCCTCTGCAAATATCTTGTATTTTACTATATTTTAAAGACAAATTTGCCGAGTTTATAAAAATTGAAAATTTTTCCATAATATAATTAAATTGCTCACAACGGAAAGAGACAGTTTAAAAGAGAGAAGAATTAAGAGGAAAAGAGAGAGGCAGTTTATCTTTTGGATGTTGTTACTGAAACTATTTTTGTAAGTGTTACGTGATCAGTTGTTTACATGTATTGATGAAGTAAAAATATGTCTAGTTGGGCAAAAATTGCTAATGATTGTTATTGTACAAAAAGGAACAAGTGCGTATAATAGTTAGTAAAAGAAAAGGAAACCAGTATTTGTATATTACTTTAATAAAAAAGAAAAAAAAATAGATATGAGTTTTATCAAAATTATTTCCACACAGCTCCAGCTCAGCGTGAGTAGGTTTAATTTGGAAACGCACATCTGCTTTCACATTGAGCTATGGGCTTTAGTAAGTTGTTTACTAGAGTTGGCTGCCAATTCTCTTCCAATGTAATTTCCTGTTTGACTTGTTGTCAGGGAAAAACGAATTGAATGAATTTAAAAATTCAATCAATAATTTAACTGCCGATTTAAAACTTTTTTAATTTTTAATTTTATCCAATTTTCTATTATGGAGAAATGGCGTTATCTGTACTGCAATATTTGTTAAAGTTTTCTTGCATTCATAATTACATAATCTGCCCCTTTTTGATTATACAATGTTCTCAAAAACCTCCTTCACTCCGAGTCCATCTCAAAGTACTTTTCCGGGGTGAAGATGCGTGGGGGCTTGTAACACTCTTCAGATGTATATAATGAACTACTGGCTAACGAGATGCTATTCTTGCGATGCCGTTATTTTATGTGTCAAGAGTAATGAAGCGTTTGTAAAAAATGGTCAATTATGGATGGAATATATTTGCAATTCAAAAGCACATACGCGTCTTGGTATATTAGACAAACTGTTTTTACCGCCAATGCTGCAAGAAACACTCTTAATTTCGTAGGAAACGAGAGTAAAAGTTTAAAACGTGTAATATTTGTTGAAATGGAAATGCGATAATTGGAAATTATATTTCAATATGTATGTGATTTTGAAAAATAAATTTTGATGGACCAAAGAACAAACCGAGTGTTTGTTTTTATTATTTTTTGAACCCATTTTATGCTAAAACAATATATACTATATTATGTTTTGCCGTGATTTTCTCATTTCTTTTGTGCGGTTTTTAGGCAATTTCGGACGCCCCACCTAAAAAAACTCTCCTCTGCAAATGCTCATCTCCACTCTCCAATTCATCAACAAACAAATCCAATTATTCTTTTCAAGCGCAACTAAGGGTCGAAAAATAAATTAGCAAAAGGGGACGAACTAGTTAAATTTCCAAAACAAAGAAGCCAAGGCAAAAGAGAGTTTGAAGCTTCTGCGCGGCGTTGGAAAGCATTCATCAGTAATTAGTTTGCTCCGAGAAGATCCAGTCTGTCTGCCATGGCTTGTCGTTTTGCGTGGGAGTGCTTTTAAATTATAATACTTAATGTGCGCATTTCTTTCGTTTAGTCAGCAACTGCGTGGTGTCTGGCACGCACCCAGTTTGTGGAAAAAGGAAAAACGTTTTTTCAGCCTTCTCATCACAACCTCAATTTTTGCTTCATATATAATAATCGTATTATCCTGAATTATCTCAAATAATTCATACCCATCTTTGCAACTACACATTTTCTCGTATCATTTAAACGCTTTATTAAAACTGAAATGTAACATTCGCATTAAACTGAGCTAGATCTGAGCCCGATTGTGTCTTTGGGTGGGCTTGCAAATTTAATAATAAAATAAGCAGGGAAATAGTTTGTAAAGAGAAAAAATATTAAACTTTTGAATTAATTAATAATAAATACAAAAATTAATTACAATTAATGAAGAATAATTTATAGACGTAAATAAAATTTTCTGGCAAGTTGCAGAGCCATGAAAGGCAGAGCTGTTGTTATTTCTCTGGGAACTTTATTTATCTAATTGAGAGTTAATTTAAATTATTGCATTACAGCCGAACAAGTTATTGCTTGGTCAAATTCAGCAGCGTAATTAAAAGCTTTTAATTCGTCAGCAAGCAGTCGATCAAAAAATCATGTTGCATCACAATAATTTTGATTAATCAACTAATAACAAAGTTTTGTTCACACCTTTACCGCTATGGTTTTGTAACGTTGCGGGTTTTATATAACAAAAAATTAAATTAATTACTCCAACTAGCAAACTGAAGACCTAGTTGCGTGAATGGTATAAAAGTGCTTTAATATAGTGTGAGAAGTACTTTGTTTTATTTCTCATTTTTTTTATTCCTGTCATGTAGTTTAAAATGTAACCATGAGCCATGAGGCTTATCTCTGCCTATTTTGATTGTGAGATACTCACTTACAACTTACAAATTAAAATAATCAACATTTTTCAATTATAACAACACAAAACATGGAAATGAGGGAAAAGCATTAACAAAAAATTTTTATAGAGCATTTTGATAAAAGAACAAAAAAATTAGTGGTAATATTTACTAATTAAAATTATAAAATTCTGTTTCATTAAAAAAATAAAAAGTATAAAAATAAAATTTTTGTCCAGATAAAAAAATTATCAATATTCACGTTTCTCTCCAGACTTTCGGTTTATCGCTAATTAAAGAGCGATACTTATTACAAAACATGTAGGCTCTAATTAAAATTAAACCAACGTTACAAAAGAAATGAAATTAAATCTTTTTTTCTAAATTTTATTAAAAAAGTGTAAAAAGCTTTTTTTTACAATATTAACAAACGGCAGAAAGCAGACAATCAACAGGGTCATCTACCACACAATATGGACACGTCGTACTGGTTACGCTTTCGAGGGTACGTTTAAAATTAGACCGCACACAAAAAGTTATGAGCTCAAAAATTCTAATTTTAGTGACGGCGCGCGGTCGCGAGTCGGCTAAGGGCGCTGCCGCCTCGAGGCCCGGCAGCTTGGCAACGCCGCCTCCGCTGCGGCCGCTCAACCCTTTCCTTACAAGTGTGTGTGTCTCGGAGCGTGTGAATGGGGCGAGCCGCTGATTCAGCAGCGGTCTGAGAGGGAATTTGGCCGATCGTTTCGGCCGATCGCAGCAGCCACGGTCGGCGGCGAATTTCGCACGGAGAGCGACGGTCGAGTGCGGGCATTCCTGACATGGTATGGTAAACATCGCGCCTGAGAATTTGAACATTTCCTCTGCTCGACACCCAACAACAACACACAAAAAACACGCGCGATTCCGAGCCACTTTTTGGCAGGTGGCCCGCCGGATCGACACCCGTCGATTTTTACGTCTCGTTTCGCCCGGCTTTTGTCTGTTTCTTTTTAGTTTGATTGATCCCGACTTATTATTGCTTTTCGTTCTCAATGGACCGAGGAAACGAAAACCGAGACGATCTCGCTGATTCGGGCACGCCCACTTTTCTTCCTCGAGCCTTTTATGCTTCGAGGAAAAGAGATGAAATTTCCTTTCGAAGTACTTACTTTTGAGTAACAGAATAATTTTCAACAAAATATTTTCATACAAATTCACCAAAAATATTTTATAGTTTTTAAATATTCGAATTTATGAAATAATTTTTTTCTTTCTTTCAGCAGCGGATGATTTGAAAATGGGCAAAAAGAACAAGGCCAAGCAGGCCAACTCAAAAGCCAACCTGGTCAACCACTTGGCTCCAAAGAAAGTCTCGCCTCTGAAAAGAAATGAGCTCAACAACATTGCGGACAAACTACTAAAACGTAATAATCTAGTTAAAAAAATGCAGAAAAAGAAAATAATTCTTGATTAATTATGTCTCTCAGTTTGCAGCAGCTCGAACGGAGGAAAAGAATGGGACACATACATTGAAGTTACAAAATTATTAGCTAAGGCCGTTGAACTTGAGTCAGGTAAGCGATAGAAATTCTTCAAATGAAGTGAATAATTTTTTATTTCAAAATAGATATGAGAGTGCCAGTAAATGACCGTTCTGATGCCATACCAAAGTTCCTCGAATGGCTGGAGAAAAACGAAGCCTCTTTTCCCGGAGTCAGCATTTCTTCTTTTGACGGTTTTGAACTCGGCCTGAAGGCGGAAAAGGATTTCGAAGAGGGTGACCTGCTCATGGCCATCCCCCGAAAAATCATGTTAACTTTGGAGAATGCAAGAATATCGGAGCTCGGTACTAAAATTGTGCTTTATTTTGGTTTAAAAATGATTAATTAAAATTTACTCAGGAGCTCTACTTTGCAAAGACCCGATGCTGCAACACATGCCGAATGTAGCTCTTTCATTGCTGCTGCTGCTGGAAAAGTTCAAGCCGGACTCGCACTGGGCCCCGTACATCGACCTGCTGCCGTCCGAGTACACCACAGTGCTGTACTTTTCTCCGTCGGAACTTGCTGATCTGAAAGGCTCTCCAGCTCAGGAGGCTGCTCTGAAGCAATGCAGGAATATTGCCAGACAATATGCATACTTCAGCAAACTTTTTCAGGTGCTTCGAAAAATAAAATTAATTTTCAAATACTGCTCTAGTCCATAACTTACAATTAATGTCATTTATGTTAATGAGACTTAAGATCAAAATTAAATTCATGCTCTGCATGAGTTGACGTTTTTCTTTTTGGGTAAAATAAATTTTGCTTCTCTTATTAATTAACCAAATATTTCAATCAACAACCAACTGCAAAATTATTGTCATAATATTGAAAATGTAAATTTTACAACTTTTTAACCTTGTTTTAGACTGTTTCTGGCCCAGCTTGTGATCTTCTAAGAGAAGTCTTTACCTACGAACAGTACAGGTAGGAATCCTTTCACACATCACTTAATTTTATAGGGATTTTTTTTTTTTATTTAATATGTGAATTTATTTAAGTCATGACAATAATTTATCTAACTTGATCAGTATGAGTCGAGCCTACCTACAAATCTACATTATGATAATGCGGTTAATTACATAATAAATTTTACAATATCGCTTTAGAACGTCCATTGGTTTATACACAAAACCGAAAATATGCCACAAAAATTTTTGAGCAACTTGACGCGAGTTTGAACTGTCAACACCTCTTCACAAAACTACTTAAAAGTCATCGGGGTCGTCGTTCAACTTGTTTGACGCCGGTTTGATCACCGTCCTCACGTGCTTGCCTTTGACGATGAAAGGCACTCTCGAGCCCCTTTGTCTCCTCTGTTGCACTCGACAGCAGAGGAAAATCGCGGCGAACAAAACGAGCGCGAGTCCGAGCAAACCGCCGCTGGCGAGAATGGCCGACTTCACCGCCGTCGGCAACCCTTGCCCTTCCTCCTCATCCTCGTCCTCTTCCACATAATCGTAGTGCTCGACGGTGACCTTGTTGACGTTGCTCGCCTGCTCCTCGTTCTCCCTCTCTTCTGCCTCCTCGGGCGGAAGGGTGAACCTGCGCGGCAGGTCCAGCAACCTCGGGTCTCTGCTGATTTGTTTTTTCCGCTTGGGGTTGTCGGCGAATCGTGGCGACGGCGTCGTGGTGACCCCGTTGGCCAGGTCGGAAAACAGCGCCACCAGCGACTGCTGTTTTGACCCGCGTTCCCGGTGGTCCATCAGCTCGGCCAGGGTCATGTTTCGGGAGGACAGCAAGGCTGCCAAACTGACCGGACTGCCGGGTTGCAGCAACTCGAGGATGTCCTCGCGCGAGTCGGCCTTTTCGCCATCCTCGGACAACCAGTACCTTTCGCTCTCCTCAGGGTATTTTGGAGGTGGGGTGGTGGTGCCGCGTTTAAGGTAGGACGACCTTTGGGCTGCTTTGTACAAGTCGGGTCGTTTGGTTGTTTCAGGTGCTCTGTAGACGATTTCAGGGTAGGTCTCTTTGGCCACCGAAAGGGTCTCAGGTGGAGAAGTTGTACTCGAAGGTTCGGGTTTTTGAGTGGCCACTTCATTTTCAGAGCTCTGCTGTTCCTTTTGGACCTTCAGGGCCGTGATGGCTCCCTTTTTGCCCTGGAGGAAGTCGGCCAGCGACAGGTTGCGTTGCTGGAGAATCTCGCTGAGACTCAGGGTGCCGGACTGTTTAAGCAGTTCCTTCAGATCCGGCCCAGCTTTTTGCGCAGGGGCCTGCTGCTCTCGTCGGCCGGCGGAGTACGATTTGCGATAGGATCGGGCATCTTTTGGGGGTGACGCTGCTGTGGGCTGTCTCGTCTTGGGCGGCACTGCGGAAATTGTTGTTCGAACGACGGGCGCGCTGGTGTAAGTTTCCTGCTCGTCGATGTGTATCACTTGGATTGGCACGATGGGAATCAGGACGTCGGGACTGGGCGCTGCCCTTGCTGCCGACGCTCGCTGCAGCAACTCCACTGGGCTCAGAGCGGCGTAACGAGGCCGTAAAACTGCCGGTCTCGTATTCCTGAAAATAAAAGTTCCAGTTAATTAAATAGTTAATTTCATTTCACCAAATATTTGTACAATTAATTACCAAACCGGTAATGTACAATGTACATTCTTAATTGGTAAACCAATTAAACAATTAGGTTATCTGCATGTCAGGAACTTTTGGAATTTTTTCCTTTTTTGAAAAATTAGACGGTTTTTCTTTAATATGTTCCTTTTTTCAGTGTTAGGCCTTAAAATTTTTATTTTAATTTGAAAAAACACCTGAAACATCAAAGTTTTGTATTTATATTTAAAAAAAATATCCAAAATTATAATATATTCATGGCTTTAGAGGTCAAAATAAAACGTCTGAAAATATTAATTATAAAGCTTAATATTGTGTATATAGGAAGCATTCATTGCTGATAAAAAAAATTACTGCTCGATTTGTTTTACTTTTATAAATTGCAAAGATTTTTTAATTGCCTAAAGTTAACAATTGGGACACATAAATTTAGAATAACCGTAACAACGGATAAAAATAAGATAGCTGAAAATTAACAAGAGCAATTGGGCCGGCGCTCAAATAGCTCTTGGTGAGGAAGAACAAGCTTAAGTAGTTTTGCCGGCGCACGAAGTAATAGTAAGCTCGATTACCCGGCTACAACATTAACGTAACTGATGGGTCTGGTTGAAAGAAATTATCTTGTGAATTAACTTGGGCGCCGCGCGTGTCGGGGGTGGGTCCTCTATTTTGCCAAGAATGCGGCGGAAGAGGAGATAAAATTAAGTGCTCACCTCTCGGCGACGGGTCTCCATTGATCCTGCGCGACGCAGCAACCGGCCACGATCAAGAGCGGCAGCCAAGAAAACCGCGCCATCTGAAACAAAATTAGAGCAGCATTGTTTATTCTTCTCGTTCGTTTTTATTGCACAGTCGTTTCTGTGCGGCACTAATCCAACCGCTTGATCTTGATCTCCGACTCGAAACACTGCGATTTGTTTGAATGTAAACAGCAGCGACGAGAAACAGAGAAAGCTGCGCACTTTTGCACGCAAAGATTCTTCTAATGCATTTGTACAATCGATTCTCCATTTTAGACAGACGCGCGATACCCAAGCAGGAGATTAATTCTGTCAAGGCTTGGATTGAAATTCAAACATCTGCACTAACAAACTTGAATGCCGCAATAATTTAATACGAGCGGCAGAACATCTGCATAATTAATTTAAATGAATTGCTTCGACTCTAGTACGTGTAAATTATTCAGTGTCATAGACGTGTGACATGTCGTCCATTAAGCGTTTAATTAATCCATCCGTTATGCAATGGCATTAAATTTGTGATTCACACAGCCCTGTATTAATGTGCGATGCATTAAATCGTCAGCGTCAAATCTTCACTGAATTTTCAATGTTTTCATTAAACTTAAGTTCCAGATTTAAGCTAAAAAGTTACTCTGGTTAGTCTGGTTGAGACTCTGGTATAGTGAAAATTAAATAGCCCTTTTGTGCGCGTGCTTGTAAATTAATTTATCTCAACAGATATATCAAACCATTATCAGGAAAGAGGAAAGAAAAAAGCGAGCTTTAGATCAATAGGGAGAAATTAACTAAAATTGCTCTACATTCTCACCTAGCAGACTTTGATTTCTGCGTTTTACTTCTTAATTCAGGTTTTCCAAAGTCGTTAAAGAAATAAATAATAAAAGTGTATTTTTGGCATCTTATAGCGATAGGTGATAAATGGTTATCACCAATTTCATCCAGATGCTGATGAGATGAGACCCACTTATTCTTCCAGAAAGCATCCTGTTATTAAAGGAATTAATACAAAATTGAGATGGTAACGTTTGAAATGAAGCGTGCAGCCGCGGATGAAAGGCTCGGCCACCGGCCGTCATTAAAAACTGGGATAGCATCGCACATTACGCAGGCAGAATGTGTGACCAAAACGAAGGAACGTCTGCCTCTCACTCTCTAATTTTCATTTATCGTGCGCGGTTTCCGTGTGTGTACGCGATGATAAGCACAAAAGTGGAAAGGAGCAAAAACGGAGGCACGCAGGCGTTGCTGTTGCGGCCCGCAGTGGGTCAGAGCTCCACTTTTTGAACTCCTGCGGCAGTTCGGTCGTCTACAAGTTAGAAACGAAATTGTTCAGCTTGATCGACGATAATTCTTATTCATTCCGCCCGCTGCCAAATTGGCACTTTATTAATCTTTTGTGCCGGCGAAACGGGAAGAAAAAGTGAAACTGATTTTGTGTAAAAATTTATTACGTTTGGTCGCTTTCCTCTCTAGTTGCAAAATAAATACTGGGCAGATAACACAAATCGTGACTGAATTTTACAATTTCGAAGGCGAGAAGATGAAAGTGTGCGATGTGGTCGGCACTGGTCAATACCCAGCCAGCAACAATGAAGGCGACACTCTCTGTTGTCCGGAATGACTTTTTAATTCGGAGCACAATGGTGATCGGCGGGCGATCGGCTCTGTTAAAAGGGGATTTGAACGCGGCACGCCGCTTTTCATCCTGAGTGATTGGCTTTTGCATTTTGACAAATGAAAAGGATCTGCGGGGAACTTTCGTTTTATTTTTGCAATGCTTCAGAAAAACCAGGACTTTCAAAACTGATTGGTTGCTTTTTTAATCGAGTGAAGTGAATTTTTATGAAATATTTTTAGTTACAAAAATTCGCAATATGTTTGTTTCTGCTTAATTGAAGCTTTTGCCACCAAAATCAATAACTCCGTTAAAAGAGACTGGAGTGCCGTTCCAATATTTGATTTGGTTGATATTCGCGTTTTGATACAACTCGGTTCAAACAAATCCCAGCAAAAAGACCCAATTCCAAATAAAAGCCCTATGGGTAAGCTCGGCAATGCTTTCTACTTTATTGTATTATTATTGTTATATTGCGCCGTTTTAGAATCTCCAGTGCCGTAATTTGGCCCCCGTGCGTTCCATTAGTCCTGTATTATGTTCAACTATCACTGAAGTTGATCGTGGAAGTTGCGAAACTCGCGCACACAGTCATAATAACGAATGTGGCTGCTGCAAATCCATCATAGTTAAAAAGCCATAAAAGCAGCAACCTGCTTTTTTACGAGCAAAACTTGGAGCAAATTGCGACCATTTCCAAAAACCACGGTCACTCTTCGGCAATATGAAAATATTATCTCGAGTCGTGCACGAAAATTGCATCGCAAATAACAAGGCAATCTGGGCCGGTCATTAGTTTTTGTTTGCGTGGTCCACAATCAGAAAGTGGTCGATGGCGCAACACATTGCGACTCGCCAGACCGAACGGCAGAGATAAGCGGCGCATTATGCATGCAGAACACAACAAAGAAGAGCCAAACCGTTGTTTCCAGCTGATTGGCTCACACCGCTGCGAAATTGAAAGTGACCGCAATATTTGCACGGACGATTACGCGTGAAACGGTCGCCTTATTCCC